CACTGTTCCAATTGTACGAACTAATAAACTAGTACCACTTAGGTTCATCATGGAATCAAAGAGCTTTGATATTATTTATGTGCTTAACATCATACCACAACCTTTTTCCATCAGTCGATGGTCCACGAAAACAGCAAGAATGACAACTTTCTCCCTCATTGGTTAGAAGAAACTTGCATGAGGTGCAGCAAATAATAAGGGTTGATTTAGATGATCACTGATGCTCGTATTGTTAAACTGAAAAGAGGATGGTAGCCCAGCATTCAGGTCACCAATCTCCTGAAAACTTTCGTAGTTTAGCAGACCAATTGGATCATAAGCCATGTAACTCGTGAGTTGCTCTATCTCCTCTTGTAAGATGGTGACCTGCAACGTATATTATGCTAGCTAGGTCAAAAGATCGATGAGCCAACCAGGGACGGACCCAGAAAAATTTTCAAACGGTGACACCGTTTGACTATAAGAAACAAATATACATATTTTTTTTTCAAACGGTGGCATCATTTGACTAAGAAAATGACACTAACAGGATTCGAACTTGGTTCTGGGGTGGAATAAAAGTCTTGCAAACCAATTCTACCAAATAAAACTTGTTCTTATCGTAGTTTCAAAATACATACAGTGGCACACAACAAATTAATACGGTTGCACCTTTCATGAACCAAATTTTTTTTACCCTTCGAAGGAGGAATAATACGGTGGCACGTGCCACCGTATGCCCTATAGTAGGTCCATCCCTGGAGCCAACAACATATATAAAGGGAACACTATTCATTTTTGTAAACATGTTAATTAGAGTACGGAACCTGTTGTTCAAGTGCTAAGATTTGAGCTATGCAACCATATATAGGATCCTCCATACGAGCCAAAGCTTCATACGATATACTGATAGCGGCTTCGCTTCTGTTTTGCAGCGGTAGTTTCATCAATAGTTTGGAAACATTGCTTGCACCGAAAACCTTGTGAACGGCTGCAAAGTGATGTGCCCCTTGGCTGTAACAGAAGTATGGAGTAAAAACACATTCATTTGTGCATTTTCTTCTAAGAAACTTGCATGCTCCACATGAAGAAGAAGAACCAGATGCTGTCATTTTTCCTTAAACTTTTAATTCCTTAGTATTTGCTCCAACAAGTGAAGATTAATTATATATATATATATATACACAATATACTCATATGATCACATGATTAATAACCACCTGAAAAAGGTTATTTGTCATCTTTGTGGGTTGGGGACAAAATGGCATGAGCTTAAAGTAGATTCTTTCAGGTCTCCTTTGTGGCCTACTCACTTTGCCAAGTCCTTTCTTAATTTGTGGATTAAAGCAACTTAAAAAGGTCGTTTTCTATTATTATACATTGATCAGTCAGTAGTAAGGTAGCAGAGAGAGGGACTAGTCTAATCCATTTACCAGTAATAATGGCTGGATAACATATTTTAATGCAACTAGAATTTGGTGCAATCATATCAATGCTAAAGACAGTACTCTTTCTAGTGCTTTATTTAGCACTCAGAGAGAAAAAGTTCACAAAAAACCCTATTTGGTTATTATATATTGCTGTAGAAAATGCATATAACCATAAGGAGTATGTACATTATACTTTCAGACTTTACCTCCATCTGACGGAATGAAATCTAATGAGTTTCGTTTGGTTTGGTTTGGTTTGATTTAGAAATAACAGCGACCCTGGTGCACCTCCACTTGGTGGCTTATGAAGTAAAATGTGTGCATCTAGATTTTCTTTGTGGTTTGCATGATATAATTAACAACAGATATGTCGATCACCCAGGGCTCGACTTGGTGTGAGAATGATGATGGATGCAGCCTAATTTACAGATGGTGGCACTAGCTCTGAGCTGGCAAAAATCCCAAAAAAATGGTGCTCAGGTGTCCCTTTTTTTTCCTTCCATGTTTAATAATTGTAAGGGTGGTTACCTAGATATGTTGCTTTACCAATTTGCCCCTAGAAGAGCCTTGGGACTTGTTATGAACAAGCTGTCAGATTGCTCTTTCCATCTCTTCCCTTTTCTGGTCCCAAGTTCAAATTTTACTTTAATTTGATGCTGCATGGCAGATAGCAATTGGGAGTCACGGGACCGATAGAGGCCGGTAGCCAAGCCAAGCCAAGATTTTTTATTAGGGGGTGATCCTTTTAAATTTAGTTATCTAATATAGACTTATGATCATGTGAGACCAATGGTTTTTCGTGAGACTTGTAAAACAAATTTTCAATCTTTGGATTACATCTATAATCGTCAGATCTTAATATTCATAAACGCCAAGAGATTTCTCAATAATTACAAAATTGTCACCGTGCAATTTTAGACCATTAGATCATTAGCTTATAAAGTTGATCAATGAACATAAATTGGT